CTATTGAAAAGTCCTTTGAAGAACAAATTGTTAAGCTATTCCCCCTGTTTTGCCAGTTTTGTTTAGTCATGTATGAATATGATTGTGCAGATGTGCGTTCTTGTATTTGTGGGAACGAATGGGGAGACTTACTTCAATACAGTTTCTCTGGTTTCTTGCGTACAAAACTTTCCAAAAAGCAGGGGTCCTGTGGTTGGGATTTTGAAAGGCTTTGCTGGTTTAAGCGGTGCAATCTTGACTCAGATATATGCAATCATGCATTCTCCTGATTCAGCCGATCTTATATTCATGATTGCAGTAGGTCCTGCACTGGTGGCTATTGGCTTGATGTTTTTTATCAAACCTGTTGCCGGCCATAGGCAAGTGCGGCAGTCTGACGCCATGAGCTTTACTACTGTTTATGGCGTCTGCCTCCTCTTGGCTGCATATTTGATGGGAGTCATGCTTGTTGAGGATCTTGTTACCTTGAGCTCCACTGTGATAGCCATTTTTACCGCTGTTATGTTTGTCATCCTTCTTATTCCCTTCTTGATTCCGGTGGCGTCGACTTTGAGCTCAGAGACGACAACATATGCTGAGCAAGAGGCTCTCCTACAACCGTTACACAGACAGGAACCTGCTACATCTGAAGCAGATGGTAATGAAGTGATATTAAGTGAGGTGGAAGATGAAAAATCAGAGGTAGAGGACTCAGTTCCTGCATCAGAGAGACAAAAACGCATTGCTCAGTTGCAAGCAAAACTATTGCAAGCAGCTGCAGAAGGAGCAGTAAGAGTGCAGAGGAGGAAGGGTCCACGTAGAGGGGAAGATTTCACCTTGGGTCAAGCTTTAATCAAAGCAGACTTTTGGCTTATATTTCTCTCCCATCTCCTTGGTTCTGGGACTGGATTGACCGTGATCGATAACCTCGGACAGATGAGCGAGTCCTTAGGCTATGATAATACACATATTTTTGTGTCCCTCATCAGCATATGGAACTTCCTCGGCCGTGTTGGTGGTGGCTACCTCTCTGAGATTGCTGTAAGGTACAAAATTTATTTTAGTTGTCCTCAGCTGAGATTCCATGGAGAAGGGAATGAAATATTCCTTATAACTATGTACAATATTTACAAGCGGTGGGCTGAAGCTGTTATAAATAATATCAGAGCCAGTCACCGAATGGTACGAGGCACTGGTTGGAATAGGGCTAGACCCTCCCCATAATAGACGCGTTTTAAAACCTCGAGGGGAACCCTAAAAGGGAAAGCCCAAATAGACAATACCTATTAGCAGTGGGCTTGGGCGGTTGCAAATAGTATAAGAGCCCGACACTGAGCGGTGTGTCAGCGAGAACACTGAGCTCTCAAAGAGGGAGGATTGTGAGATCCCACCTCGGTTGGAGAGGGCAACGAAACATTTCTTATAAGGGTGTGGAGATCTCTCCCTAGCAGACGCGTTTTAAAGATGCATTTCTTATAGAGGCATGAAAATTTCTCGTGCAGACGCGTTTTAAAACCTTGAGAGAAAACTCAAAAGTAAAAGTCTAAAAAAAGACGCTAATTGCTAGCAGTGGACTTGAGCTTGGACTGTTACACCATAAAATATCATTATATTATATCTTACTTTCATTTTCTTCAACAGAGATTATGCTTATCCAAGACCTATTGCAATGGCGATTGCGCAACTCCTTATGATATTCGGACATCTCTTCATCGGAATGGGATGGCCTGGAGCAATGTACATTGGAACTCTCATAACAGGGCTCGGGTACGGGGCTCACTGGGCAATTGTGCCTGCTACTGCCTCTGAATTGTTTGGGTTGAAAAAGTTTGCTGCTTTATACAACTTCATCACTCTCTCTACTCCCATGGGATCTTTGATATTTTCTGGGTTAATCACGAGCAGCATCTATGATAAGGAAGCAGAGAAGCAAGCTCTCAATCATCTCTCACAGCTGCAGAGCTCCAATGGACCGCTCAAGTGCGTGGGCACCATATGCTTCTCTCTAACTTGTATGATAATGGCTGTTTTCTGCGCCATTGCAGGCATCTTAAGTTTGGTTTTGGTTCACCGCACCAGGGGTGTTTACTACAACCTCTATGGAAAATCTCGTTCATCCACGCTTTGTGTAAATTAGATTTCACCATTATTCATCAGTAAATATAAAATATGCTATGCATTTATTCCACCAAGGAGGTTTGAGCTTTGCTACATGTTCTTGACAGACACAATAGTTATGTTTTTTTTAATCATAATATGTTGTTTATTTTCTATACCAACAAATTTTCATACAAAAAGACAGAACAGAATAGGAAACAACTTGTTACATGACCATAACTTATCTTTCGAGTTCATCACATGATGAGCAACAAAAATTAGGAATTAAAGGCACTACAATCGATTCGAATTTCACCATCATTACCAGTCTTAACTCCAATCCGACCCATCTTGGTCATGGCGTTGATAAACGCAGCATTAAACTCCGCCCCATTGGTGGCGAAGCTGCGGACTGTCGGCTGGGATTCGGACTCCGTGAACAGAATCTGGTCGGCAGTGAAGAGGCCCTTGCCGGCGATAAGGTTCTGGTAGTAAACGTTGTCGAAGGTCCGAGGGGTTATAGGATCCATGTCGATGGCTATGCTGGGATCCACGTTCCGCGGACACGCATCCATTAGCTGCTGCGCGTAGCCGGGGTCCAACGACGGGTCCACCGGAGACGAAGGGGAAAAGGAGTAGAGACGGTTGGAGAAACGGTCACAGTGGGAGAAGCCCAAGGTGTGGGCTCCGGAGAGTGCGATCATGTCGATGAGGGTCAGGTTGTGGGCGGCGAACATGTTGACCAGTTGGTCCAGATCGAAGAATGGCTCCGGTAAGTTTCCGGCCACTCGGGATGCTCGGGAAATTAGCCCATCTCGACGTCCTAGTTCCACGCTGTACAGTGGGCCCCCTGCCTGAAACACGAGGACAATAAATCAATAATTTTTAGTCAAATGTCATGAATTTTGTTTTAAAATATTTATTTCATCCATTGATTTCAAAAATGGTACCAAATTAACGACATCTCTAGTTGCAAGAGCCAAAACGTCAGCACAAGAGACAACACCGGGACAAGCACTTTCAACCGCTTGCTTAGCTTTAATAACCGTGTCAAATCCATCTCCAGCTAATGAAATATTGTCTTTAGCATCTTTCTCTGCATCCCCATTTGGAGATGCTATCAACACCGAAGCATCACAACCCTATACTCAATAGTAAACAAATAAGGTTGTACCCGTGATAAATTTTATGAATATTATTCATGAGATGATGATGGATTTATAAGGAAAGGATGATTAGGTATGTCAATCCTTAGAAAAGGTTAGTCAAGAAGAAGCACCTCAACGAAACAATCATGGAAGAAGAGTCGCAAAGTTGCAGGGACGGTAACGAACGTTTGATCAAACTTGTTTTGAACAGCTTGTGTAACGATCTGCTCCACGTTGGGACAAGTGGAGGCGTAGAAATTCTCTACTAATTGTGCGTCTGTTGTCTGGACAGTAGTAGCCGCCACAAGAAGCACAGCCAGAACCAAAGCCCTCCACAAAGCTCCCATGGCCATGGCCGCCTAGTTGGTTTGTGTAACTTCTACTAAGATCCGGCATCCCTTCAGCATATATAAGGTGTGGAAGAGGAGGATGGGGTGTATGAACTTGGTCAAGCTAAGATTTTTGAAGAGAGAGAGTAAACAAGGTGGTGACGATTGAGTTGTTGGGGTCAATCCACATTAGTATTATTCTACAAAAATGGGTTGGGTTTATATTATTGCTGTGAATCATAATTTGTTTAGGGTTTAGTTTAGGTAATTCGGGTTCCTTGCAAGAATGCATGAAAATGACATTTATAATATTCAACTCCCGTGCGCGTGAAACCATTGTTTTCTCAACTTAAAGTCAAATGTTGGAAGTGGTAAGAAATGGATAATTTTAATAATATTGCAATTTATTACCATCAACTTGGGATAAGAAAATTTCAAAACTCGTGATATTATCAAATCAGACTCCTTCCTAACCGATTACCATTATTTTTAAATGCTTAATACATTTTTCACGTATTTGATGGGATCGGGTAAAACCTATGACTAAGTAGACCTATCAAATTTAACTTTAGAACCCTTTTAGTAGGTTAGGAACATTCTTAGTAGAATGTTTTTTTTCATGTCCCTAGTAGATATTGTTCGTTTTTGGAAGCCTTTTCCTATAATGCTTCTTTCCTATCCACTCATAGATACTGTCAACCATGTTTATTTCTTATATACTAGTAAATATTATCCGCTTTGGCCTCACTGTTAGCAAATATTGACCTTTTTGAGTTTTTCCTTCTGAATTTTTCCTCAAAGTTTTAAAACGTGCCCACCAGAAAGAGGTTTTTACACTTATGTAAAGAATGGTTCATTCGTCTCTCCAGCCAAGACAGAATCTCACATTTTCATAGAATCTCACATGGCTAATTACGAACGAACTAAACAATGGAAAAGTTAGTGGGTTAGTTCCTTCCATGTCAGATGATTTGAAGATTTCGGTTGACTTTTATTAAGGGAAGGATTTTAATTTTAAATAAAATAATACCCATAATCCAACTAACCATTAAAGTATTATTCGTGTATTTATATATACACACACGTATGTATGTGTGAGCATGTAGTTTTGCGAGATGATTTTTTTTTTTTTTTTTTAATGGATGTAGCTTAATATTCTATAATATTTAATTTCAATATGTATTTTTCTTTTTATCATTATTTGAGATTAATTGAAGTTCTTAAACATCTATTTAATCTGGATATAAAAATAAACAAAAAGCTTAAATGGTCTTGAGAAATGTAGAAAAGGTTAGTGGAGCAATAAAAGATACCTACCTTTTGACGCTAAGTTGTTACTCACGTACTGGTTCGAGGCAGGTTTCGATCACTCCTTCGATGCTGCCCATTGTGGTGGTACGGAACCACTAAAGGAAGGCGGTTTAAATTTCATAATTGGGGTGAATACAAGTGCATACAAGCGAACCCTGCCGGTCCAAGATTCGCATTCGGTGGCTTGGGGCGGTTCTGGTTGTGGTTGTGGTTCTAAGGATAAGGTTCGCGTTCGCTCCCTCTCTGTCTCTTCCCCTCCTCCATATCCATTTATTTTTCTCAATCAACTAATTCTGTCGATTTCTTGTATTCGCTTCACAGTTCCAATCGAGGAAATCCCTGTTGCAGCCATGAGTTTAAACCTAATTGGCGCATTCAGAGGCCTCTCTCTGGCCCCTTCTTCTTCGTCCTCTTTCTTCAAAGGCGATTTCGGATCTATTCAACTGCCTCCCAAGCTCTCCGTCTCGTTCCCTACCAGATTCCCTTTAACCATTGAAAATGCACACAAGAAAGGAGCTGGAAGCACGAAGAACGGCCGAGATTCTAAGGGCCAGAGGCTTGGCGTTAAAATCTACGGCGATCAGGTTGCCAAGCCTGGTTCTATCATCGTTCGTCAGCGTGGAACCAAGGTAGTTTCTCAGTCCCAAATCATTTTCCAATTCGATTTTGAAACTTATAGGTTGAGGAATTGGTGCTCGTTCCGCACATTGTTTAGGGCATTCCTAATTTACGAACATACATCGATTGTTTTGTAATTGAGTTCCATGGTGTCTGTTTTTGTACAAATGATTTCAGTTCCATGCTGGAAAGAATGTGGGGCTTGGCAAGGACCATACAATTTTCTCATTGATTGACGGGCTTGTAAAATTCGAGAAGTATGGACCTGACAAGAAGAAGGTTTCACTTCGAACTGGACCTTTCAAGATAGCTTGCAAGAATGAAAACAAAACTGAGATGTATGTATTTGATTGCAGGTGAGTGTGTACCCAAGAGAAGTGCAGCCTGAGAATCCAAACAGCTACAGAGCAAGGAAGAGGGAGTATTTCAGGCTGCAAAGAGAGCGCAAGAAAGCAAGAAAGGAAGGCACTATTGCTCAACCCCAATTAGTATTAGCTTCCACTGATGCTACAGAAACCAATCCAGTTTGCTGATTTCTATAGGCAGCACTTCAATCACTGCTTGTTTAAAAGCCCCGATGATCTTGCAGGAAGAAGGTCTGCTTCTCTAGCTTCACTTCTTTGGTTGTGCACATATAATTTGCCACATTCCTCACAGGAACGTGTTTCATTATTATTCGCAATTACCAATTGTCGCTCTTGTTCTACTTCTTGCGCCTAGATATTCTGAAACATTCAATAGTCAGGAGTTTTGGGTGACTCAATTATAGGAGTTGAACTAAGTAAATAAGGATAAAAGACTCAATTAACTTGTCAATTATAGGAAGGAACTAAGTAAATAAGGATAAAAGACTCAATTAACTTGTTTACTGTCGCAGAGAGTGGAAGTAGTTTTCACTTTTAAAAGTAAGGAGTAACTTATTCTGGAAGTAGTTTTCACTCTCAAAAGTAAGGAGTAACTTATTCATATCGCAAGGGGTGAGAATAGTCTTTCATTTTCAGAAGCAAGGAGTAAGTAACACAATAGTGTTTCACGGAATACGGGTGAATGTCGGAGCGATCAGGTGTGGAATCTAAATTCTGACACTTGGGTAAGTGAGCATAGAATTTGTATTTGGAAACTTTAGAAATTAAAAATGAAGAATGAGATCAATGAGTATTAGGAGAGTAATGAAATGGTAAAGTGCTTCTCTTTCTTGTGAATAATTTAAAATACATGATTCCCTAAAGGTGCAAGCTTCTTAGGAATGAAGAAACGACAGGCACTATCATTATCAAACATGAAATTTGCAGAAACAGAAGTAAGAAATAAATACAGAGTGGGTGTTATAGAGAGAAGGGTATCGTATCTTCTAAAAATCCTCATCCATCTTGAACTCATGTATCCCTCCGATCCCATCCAAGCTCGACATCACAGATGCCTTCTGATAATCTCCCACCCTCTTCTCGAAGAAGTTTGTTTTCCCCTGCAGCGATATCAGTTCCATCCAATCGAACGGGTTCTGCACATTGTAAATCTTGCTGTGCCCTAGGGCTACCAGCAGCCGATCTGCCACAAACTCGATGTACTCACTCATCAGATCGCCATTCATCCCCACCAGCGCGCACGGCAATGCCTCACAAACGAATTCCCTCTCAATATCCACTGCCTCCCGGACGATCCCCTGCACTTTCTCCTCGCTTAGCTTCTTCCTCATCAGCGAGTATAACAAGCACGCGAAATCGCAGTGCAGCCCTTCGTCTCGCGATATCAATTCGTTCGAAAATGTCAATCCAGGCATCAGCCCGCGTTTCTTCAACCAGAATATAGCGCAGAAACTTCCGGAGAAGAAGATGCCTTCCACGCAGGCGAATGCTATCAACCGCTCTGCAAAGGACTCGGATCCGTCGATCCAATTGAGCGCCCACTCGGCCTTCTTCGTGATGCAAGGTACAGTCTCTATGGCATGGAACAACCTGTTCTTCTCGACAGAGGCCTTGATGTAGGTTTCGAGCAACAAACTGTACATCTCGGAGTGAATATTCTCAATTGCTATTTGGAAGCCGTAGAACGCCCTCGCCTCCGCAACCTGAACCTCCTTCATGAACCGGCCGGCGAGATTCTCCAGAACAATACCATCGGAAGCGGCAAAGAAGGCCAGAACATGTTTGATGAAATGCTTCTCATCGGCGGTGAGAGCTTCCCAATGACGAAGATCCTGAGAGAGATCAACCTCCTCGGCGGTCCAGAAGGAGGCAACGGCTTTCTTATACATTTCCCAAATCTGAGGATATTGAATGGGGAACATACAGAATCTATCGGGGTTCGGGGCGAGCAACGGCTCCTCTGAAATTGCAGGCATGGTTACAAATCCTTGATCAAAGGATTGAAAGAGATGATTGGGAAAATTGATGGATGGATGGATGGATGGATTGATTGGACTACTAATGGATGAGATTATATATAAGCGAGAGGGAGGGGAAGGAAGATTAAAGAGAAGTTCGTAAATCCAAAAAGAAATTGGAGCGGGAGATTTTGAAATTTTGCAGGAAGCTTGCAGGAGAAGAGAATGAATGAGAAGGAAGGGCAATTTGGGGATTGTGGAAGATTTCATGATACGATTCGGGTGGAATTTAAAATAAATATTTTTTACATTAAATTGGCGCCGTTTCAACCAATAACTCATTTTCTGATTACGAAAATTACCATATAATTTTTTTTTATTTTTAAATAATTATAAAAATGCGGATATCCACGTGACAAATCATCTATAAAACCGAAGCCACGGGGCAGAGACGTGGCTAGCAGAAGCACACACGAGCCAACCATCTATACACCTATTGTTTTTGTAAAAAAAAAGTTTTTCGTAGGACTGATCCGGCCCGGTCCGGCCGGCCCAAAATTTAAAGACCGAGGCAATCTTAAAACTCCAGCTCTTGCACTATTTCCTTCTTCCTCCCCCTTTCGGGATTTTCTCCGTAAGCTTCTCTATATCCCAGAAATCTTCATCGACTTCAAAAACGAGAAGCCCTAGAATCAATTTCCACTCTCTCTCTCGATCAAATAGACGCGGTTTGCGACAATACTGGAAAGATCCTTTGCGTCTGCTGTTGCACTCGAACGGAGTTCAAATTCCACACCGAAGCCATCGACATCCCCGAGGAACAGATTCGATTGGAATTCCAGTAAAGGAAGGCCTGTATGTCCGTCGAGTAATAAACTTCCCTTTACTGATTTTGTGTGCCGTCCTTGCTCTGTTGAAGCTTCTTACTGTTCTCGGCATTGGTACGTTTAGAACGAGTTCTACTTACATTAGAGATTTGAGCTTATAAAGTTGGGTCTACTTTGTTTGTTTGTTTTTTTTTTTTTTTTTTTTTTTTTGAATGCTGTTGAGTTTCTTC